TCGGCAAATGCTATTTTATTTTATTCCGAACTGAAATTGAAAACGTGGAGTGTACCATCCGCGTGGAAGTCCAGTAACGTACTTTCCTCATATAAGGGACGTAGCTGGATGGTTCCTAGCAGTTTTGACCAATATGTTTAGCTTGTTTATATTGGAAAGGGGAGCGTATCTATACTGGAGAGGCCAAATTAAATATCGGTGTCCCGAAGGGAACGTTCCGTGTTTAATTATATTTGTGATATATGCAAAATTCTTTCCGGTGTGGCCAAAAATCGAGCTGTTTTGATCTCAGCTTTAGTAGATAGGAAACATTTATCCTCGGATTGAGTTCTCACATTCCATTTGGCCGAAGTGGTCACTGTTTCCTTCCTTAACAAACAGTCATTTTTCTGTACCCGTCATTCTGGCAGCAAGCGAGAGAAGTGTATGGAAAGGGGATTACACCGAAATGAGAGGACTACCAAACGAGATCTACTGAAACCCTGCGTACGTACCTGATTCAACCGTCGCCTGGTTCTTCTTTACGAACTTTACTCAGTACTCAATAAAGAACTGTTTCACGCTTAAAAGGAGATCGCGCGTCTTCCGGCTCGATTGGGTGGCCTCGGAAATAAAAGGGAACATCAAGAACATAAGAAGACTGTAGAAAACATATGTCAGATATGAAATACCTGAATATTTTTCCACCTTTAAGAAACAATGAAAGTCGTGTTGTAAACTTTACCCAAAAAACGATTGGCCTTTAAATCAGAAGTAGTTACAGGAATAACAAAAAAAACGTTTTTTTCTTATGTGAATAAAGTAGAACACAGTCGGGACCCCATTATCTGCCTGGAAGACAATCAGGGAAACAATTTAATCGAGGACTCAAACAAGACGCTGCTATTATCTAAATTGTTTATGACTGTGTATACCGAAGAACCGCATTTTAAAAAGGAATTACAGTAATATATTGCCACATCAACAAATGCAATTACCACAGTGTCATTCACAGCATATAGAGTAAGAAAAAGGACTGAGGCAGCTACAGCCCACTAAATCACCTTGTTCAGATAGTATATCAGAACGAATTGGAAAACGTTCCACACAGACGACTGATATCGGTATCGACGGACGTGACTGGCAATCTACTCAAATGATCGGGAGATTTCTTTACAGGCAGCCACCAGCGTATTTGTATTGGAAGAAATCGGAATGGGATGTCGTTCACAGGGGGTTCCGCAGTGTAGATTTCGGAGACCCATTCTGTTTCTGATACACGCGACCGATTGTCTTGGTTGCCTCAGGTGTGGAAAAGTAATGTTCGCTGACGATCTGAAATTATGGCATTCAATCGAACGTCCGGAGGATGTACAGACCTTACAAAATAACTTGTATTGGTAGCAAAAATGGAGTTTAGGCTACTTAATCTTAATTTCAACAAATGCCAAGCCATCTTACTAAGGTCAAGAGGTGTTACCTTTGGCTGAACAATTTCGAAGTGCCAAAATTCACGTCCTGTAAAATTCTGTCTGCCCTACATGTAATTGCTCCCTTTCCCCAACAATGCTGTCAGCCATTTGTGTAATGGTCACTGCTTTAACGACCGTGGATCAACTTTCATTCGGAATCAAACGCGTGCCAAAAGCAATCGCGGCTGTCCAAGTGTCACTTGAACACGCCACCCCTCCGCCAATGCTGCATGTACCTCTGTACACGACACTCCGTTCGGGCAATATTTCAAACCAATCTGACACTACATCATCTGGCTGCAAGTCACATAAAATCTGTAACCAACCCCTCTTTCTCACACACTCTTCCAGGCCTGGCTTCACCCTGCACACGGGCGGCATTATTGAACATGCGTCGTTCCTTTGTTTAGAGTCAGGTGATATTTGGCTGACTCCCTTGTTCTTGATAACACGTATCCACTGTTAAGGTTGTTACCTCGTTTATTCTTCCTTATTTCTTTAATAGTACCATACCACACCAAGTATTTTTATCCTTGGGATTTGACATACGCGGTACGACTGGATACAGAAGCAAAGGATCCAAGATACGTAAACAAGAATACTTGATAAAACTTTACTTTTTGTCTATATATTAACTAGACATAAACGGTTAATTTAATATACTCATACCGTTCTGCAACATATGCATACTTTGCCAGAATTTATCTCTAAATAAGGTTTTCAAAGACTGTGCCTATCTCCCTTAAATATACTGAATTTTTGCATTTTTGGAAGGAAAATTGGAGTCCTTATAATGCATACTATAGTACAACTGTGGGATAAACAT